AATCTAATGGAAACGTGTTACTTTACAGACAATATTGGCATTAATTTGCGATAAAATGTAAAACACATAAATAGGCAATGCAGAGTTTAATGTTATCATTCAGATATACAGAATTGGCTTTGGATTTTCTACAAAATTATAAAATATCTGTCCAGTATATTTGATTAGAAATGATTTTAACAACTAATGAAATGATTACCTTGGTGATCAATAGGTGATCTTATCTTGTGGCACCAGGAGTGATGGATTGGCACAAACTGTAATATAGAAATTCAGGTTCCCACAGGAAAATGAATCCTACTGACTTCAGAGATCCAACATTTTCATCTAGTGCCATCATCAGATTGAAATTTCAAATTGTACTTTGGTTTATGACCAATATCTGCAAAACAAATTACCATCATCCTCTACCTTCAATAGAAAACACTGTACAGAAATGTCAGCCAGCACCATACATATTATAGTTGGTTAACATGTTGACCTTACACCATTTTCACACAAATAAACTACGGTATGTAATTCAACATGAAAACCTTTTGATATAAATGGTCCTTTATTCTGACACCAGTCAGACTCATGAAAACAAAGCAAATTAAGATTTTCTTTCTGCCACTCCAAAAATTCCAAGCATTGTTGTCGTAGATCTTGAGTCTCAAACTCAAACTGGTTTGGGCCCAGTGATGGTATTGTCATCTCATAGGAGGGCCACTTCAACGTTCAAGTACTACAGAAGAAGAAAGTGCAATACTATGAAAATATTTCCACCATTAACATCAAACTTTAAAAAATGCAAACCGCTGTTTCTAACTTTTTATATATTCTTTGTCTTTCACCTTCTCTCTTCTTATCGTCATTTGAAGATATTTGTGCCAAAGTAAATACATTTTTTAAAATAGAATTGTGTTTATGTTAATTTTATAATGAAGGGTGAAAATAGCTGAAAATAATTCTATAAAAATAATAATAATTTTGTGGTTCAAATTATGATAGTCTTTACATCATGTCAGAGGGAGGGGGTTGGTGGCCTGGAAATGGCCCCGGGGCCGGCAGTTTGAAACCCCTGTTGTAGAAGGAAAAAGTAAGTAGATGGGACATATAACAGTTACTTCCCCTTCAAACTGTAATTACATCATTAACAGTGTGTTCTTCATATAAAAGACAGAGGTGGGATCAGCAGTGAAGAGTCTGAGATGGGCTTCACGCAGGAACAGAGGAAATCAGATTTTTCTAACCCTGCACGACCAGGATATGATTTACCTCACTCCTTGTCTAAAAATATAGAAAAGCTCACACATCATATATAGCTCACACACTGTTTGAAATAAGATTTCTTCCTCCTGTGTGTGAAGTGCCGAAAGAGTTGGAGGTGGGTGATTCATCAACAGAGATTGATAATGAGAGTAACACTCTGGATGTTACTGTGGATCAAGAAAAAAAGAAATATTTGGCAGAGGGACGGAGGAAAAGAGGGATGGGCACAGGAAGGAGGTGATTCACGAGGAGGAGAGTAAAGACTCTTGGCTTTTAGTGTGAAGACAGAAGATGGTAGTTAAGCGAGTAAGAAGGATGATTCATGAAGATGGATAATAAAGAGCAGAGTAACAATTCTTAACTTTGCGGTAAAAAAAAATGAGAAAAATGGACTCTGGGGACAGAAAGACGGAGGAAACAATGGGAAGAAAGAAAGGAGATGGTCTGAAAGTAGACGAGGAATGCACAGTCATGCTGCTTTCTTGTGTTCTAGATAGATTTTGAGTAATTCAGCAGTGAGCTTTTGTTCCACAGCTATACCAAGTTAATGGGCTCTCCAGGGATTTCAACAGCCCATTCAAATCTCTTAAGCTTTTCTGTAAACAGTCATTCTGTTGAAGCAATGTATCATTATCACCTCTATTCACAAACCCAATCAAACCGAGCTTTAGGTGTTGCGGCAGGGAAGTGCTAAAGGGAAGTGCATGCTTGTTTCACTCAGCGGGAAGCATTCCTTTTTGTATCTTGCTGCGAATGCGCTGATTTGCTTACAAGGCTCCTTTTGAAAATTTGCCAAGTGGTTGGAGACTTTAACAGGCATCCAAGGCTGTTTTTAAAAGATGTAGCTTGTCACTGTGAGATTAATTGCAGTGACACAGATGTCACAGAACTACTGCCACAACAACCAGAGTATATGGCCCTGATCAGTTTCATGAACGTCCAAATAGTCGCACAGTCGGAGGAGTAATTTTAGAAGTCCCATTCATTTTCTCCATAGACTATTTGGGGTGACTGACAGTTTAGGCACTTTCATGGCTTCTGTAGTAACAAAGTGTTCCAGGTTAAATCATCAGTGAAAAAGATTTTCAAAAGAGGTCCAAAAATAAAGCAAACTAACTCAAAGATCTTCCGACTGTCATCGTCTTGTAATGTCATTGTAAATACTAATAAAATATTCCATGCAGCCAGCAAACACAATAAAATTAAGCATTTCTATTTTTGCTCATCTGCACACTATTTCAGGGTTTTTGGAGTCATTTCATGGAAAATTGACGTTCTTAAATCATCAGTCTGTACAGTACAAAAGAAAATGTTTTCCACTCTTCCAAATCACACAGCGCACACAATCTGTTTTCAAATCTGCCAACTTCAATTGCCAGAGGAAGAATAGTGGTTCTTAAAGGGAAACTTAGCTATTTTTCAACCTGGTTCCTTTTCCCCCCATGCTTTTGTGTCTTGGTGAGTTTTTGAAATTGGTCCAGTACTGAGCAAGAGCACTCCAGCCAGCAGCTGTAATGTAATCTGTCAGAGCAATTGCACACCGCCAATGTATGTCCACTACAAGTGTTTGTTTTTTTCGCTAACAGGCGTATATTGTTATTCTAAGTGTCTTACAACACTATGGACAGGATCCTACAGCAACAGACCTTTTTGTTTAAGAGTAAGCTCCTTTTTGTTTAACCAGATACAGCCACTGCCTCAGACTCCACTGATAAAAACAGTAAAAAAAAAAAACCCAAAAAAACCTTTAAAGCTAGCCTGGTTAGTTAGTGAATATTATTATATTTTGTTTTAAAAAATAAAAATCTAAAAACTGACTTTTAATAGAGTTAACATTACAACACAAACACTTGTCCCAAAGACTTAGTGCTGTTATTGAGTGGATTAGTCTAATGAAATAAAGTCAAATGAATTTAATTGACTACAGATTTATAGCAGAAGGCCTGTGTTACAAAATAGGGGCATGGATTTTGAAAAGATGTGGGGATTTTCCAGACAGGGAGGGTCTAACAAAAAGCTCACTTGAGTTGCATTATAGAAGTACAATACTAAATTGCTACAGGACTCTTGTAGGCTCAGAGCAGGCACAGCATGCTACACTGTTTAATAGCAAAAGACCATAATATGCTATATATAGGAAATGCTTTAGTACACAATTTATTTTAAAGTGAAGCATTCTGTCCACTGATGTGTTTGCACTGATGGCATTTCCTATCTACAGCAGGTTGAGGAAGTTGGTAGTCCTATCATCTCTAGAGACCAAAGGCACTTACACTAACACAGACGAGTGTAACTGTGCTTGTTCAAAGACTAAAGAAATCTCAGGAGCTCAGCTACGAGCACTCAAATCCCAGGAGGATTGTGGCAATCCCAGAGCAGCGTTTGTGCACGAGAGCATACGTGTGCACTTCATGTCTCACTCTGGATAATTTGGCATCACATTTCTTATAAATAGGTGTCAAGTTCTTTGTTGGGGAATTCTTCGGGGAATGTCAATTTGATCTATAGTTGATCACCCATCTGCTTTTTTCTCTCTGCCATCTGATATCAGCAGTGCACTAATTGCCACGAAAATAGGCATCTTGTAGAGCGTGGGCCCACTCTCTGTTCTTTCTCGTCCTTTGGCTGGCCATGCTCAAGTTTACAGCTTCTTCACACTGTGAGTCAACAGGCCGGCCCTCTGCTGGCGGCTGCAAAATGTGAGACTAGTTTTAATTTTGAGTTTGGATCCTGAGATGAGACACTTAATGTTTCTGTCGTCTATTTCCTCTATTCACCCTTTGACCTTCTCGCTCATTAAAATAAAACCTGCAGAATTTAGTACAGGAATGTCTGTCTGAGAAACAGAAAGTTTTTTTTTTGTTGGTGGGTGACATTAATTGACCCCTGTCGCTCTTTAATGGTCCAAATGCCACATGGAAGTGAACAGGATGCCTCGAATCTGTGTCTCCGTTCATTACGATAGAAGAGTAATGTGTGCAATTGATATTTGCATCAGTGTCCTGTTCACAGTCAAAAAAGATTCCACTTATCACCATTATGCTAATAGGGATCGCTATTACCATAATGATATGCCATTATAAATAATGAAAGAATGAATACATATGATTTTAATGAATGTTTTCCTCGCTCTATCTTTTTCTCCCTTCATTTTCCGTCTGTTTTCACAGGGAAGACCTGTGTAGTTTAGTTCATGGCTGCCAAATAAAATGATTAAAGAGACTGTATGGATAAACATCTTTTCCTTCCTCATTCGACTCTCCCAGCCCTTTCTTCTCTGTGGGTCACTCAGTACTTAATCTTCATAGACAGCATCTTCATTAAAACAAAGACTGTCACCACTTTTCTCTTATGGTTAAATCGTTGTGGATGTGCATTTCTACCTGCTTTACAAAGAGAAATGGCGCCGCCTAACAGACAGCTGCTACAACTTCTATCCTTTTGGCATAGGCTAAAAGCTTGGAAAGCTGTAATATTATCCTGAGTAGATTCTCTGTTTAAGTTTCTCTGATGTTTGGCAGATTAAAAGGCCAGTGGTCACGCACCAGAGAGAAATAATAACATCTCTCCTCGTCCTAAGCAAACTGAGATTATCATCTGTGTGCAGAAGCTGTACTCTAACTTTGTGCTTGGTCTGTGGTGACAGAGAAATACCTCACTCCTCCTCACCCTCCACTTCTTTTCTTTTCCTAAACAAAAGAAGGGATTTAACATACTTACTCACACTTGTGTGTCCCCCTCTCTCACAGGTGACTCCATCCTCTAAGATCGTGGGTGACCTGGCGCAGTTCATGGTGCAGAACAACCTGACCAGGGCAGAAGTGGAGGAGAGGGCAGACGAGTTGTCCTTCCCCCTGTCTGTGGTCGAGTTCCTGCAGGGATACATCGGGATACCACATGGAGGATTCCCCGAGCCCTTCAGGTCTAAGGTACAGCAGTTTGTCCTGTATGTGCCTTTTTCAAACTTTAGTTTAATATCTCACAGACTTCTGATCATTTCCGTTCAGGTTTTCATAAACATTGATTTACATTTTAAAGGCAACTTAGAACCACCTAAGATTAGTAGAATAGTCATTTAGACCACAAAACCAACTCGTACAGAACTTCATCTTCTTCACTTCTTTCACTTTTTGTGTACCCAACACCTACCACAGACATATGCAGGAGAGCCTATTTAAAGCCAGATGTGCATGTGCACATGCACATCTTACACACACACACACACACACACACACACACACACACACACACACACACACACACAAATTCTGTCACATGCTTGGTTACATCTGACAGTTGCAAACGGTGCAGAAAAAACCATGATATTGCTCTGTGCTCATCTCATTTCTGTTTCTCCACCTCTGTCTACTTCTTGTGTCTCCTGTCTCTCTCTCTGCGACTGCGAGCAGCGAGGGACAGACTCTCATGTGTATCAGGCACCAACAGCTTGAAGTCTCCTTGGGAGAGTCGCATGAACACACACATGAATAAAGGCAAATTTGTCACATTCTCCCAAAAGAAACCTGCTCACATATTGGTGCACTTGACATTTCCCCCAAAAAGTCAGACTATTTTCCCCCCCTACTAACATCCACACTGTTGAGCGCTTCATTATGTATTTTCAGTGAGCTTTCTCGCGCTTAAAATGTGGTGTGAGACTCTGTCTGCACTTCTGTCACAATGTGTGGCTGTGAATGTAGCATTTCGTTGTAAAAATGTTTGCAGAGCCTTAGATACTTGTGCATAAGCTAGGGGATAATTAGAATATGATAAGTCATCTATTTACTGTCCCCTTTTTGATGAACAGCATTGAATTTAGCTAATGGTCTTTTTTTTTGCTGCCTGTCAAGTTCATTTTAATCACTTAGTTGTAGATGTATGCTCATTAATTTGTGTGTTTATCTGTCTGTCCAGTCACTGTTTCTCTCTCACATCTTTCCTCCTCTTTGTTCACGTCCTGTCACCCTTATCATCAACTTGTCTTTTCTCCCCGTCTCCTTCACTGGCATACAGTTGGGAGATTATATGATCAAATATTTGTCATTTAGGTGCCCAGGCAGTCGCGCCCTTGACAATCACAGTCATTCTTCAGTTTTGACATACACTATGCAACCTTGTGTCTGCTACCTCTCTATTAGTGTCTCTCAATCTGTCTCATGTTTCCCCTGAATGTGGCAGAGGAATCCTTCCTATTAAACAAAGAAGATGGTGTACAGCTTCTGTATTCATTCACATCTTCCTTTTATATTTTCAGTCAGGTTTGGAATGTCTTATGCTGGCTATCATGAATCTGCAGCATACATACATGCAAAAGTTCAAATTCTTTGCCATTTAAATTTTTTATTCTACTGCCCTTTGAGCATTGTAAAGGGGGATATTTGCATTCCATCTCTTTGGTGTTGTATTTTCCATGAGTTTTTCCAGCCAGTTTGCACCATGCATTAAGCATATAAAACTGTGCTAGAGCTGTAGCCTGCATTATAGTGCTCTAAGTAAATCCTTAAAGGACCAGTGTGTAGAATTTAGTGGCATCTAGTGGTGAAGTTGCAGATTTAAACTAATTGAACACCACTCGTGTCTGTATTTGATGACCCTGAGAATGAAAATGGGCTGTGAAGTGCAAAAGAGAAACTACAGTGGCCTCGAAACTCAGGCCACTGTAATCTGGCATGGAAGCCAAAAAAAAACATTCTATGAAAACACAATGATGCCCATATTCAGGTGATTATACACTAATGATTATTCTATTCCTGCCAATAGATCCTCCTCAATGTTACACACTGGACCTTTAACACACCTGTAGAACTGCTGCCAACTTCTCCTCTCAGCCAGTAAAATCTAAATATTCCTCTAAATCTCTCCTCTGCGTACAAGAGAGACGACCACCCTTGATATTTAATGCACAAACACCAAAAGGCTTTTTCTCTCAGTTTACTGAATAACGTACACTCTCCCACCCCCTGATTCAGTTAAAGTTCAGCTTCAGTACAAATCACTTTGGCTTTCCTTTCACAACCTTTTCATTCGTGTGCTCACTGTGTGTGCATGTGTTTACATGCAAGTTGTAAGTTTGAAATAAATCTGATAAATGTTACTGTCACTCACTGAATATCTTTGGAGTGCTTTTAGAGTCTAAATCAAAATAATTGGTGTCAATCTTCTGTAAGTTAGAAAAGGTAAGAGTGTAAAGGAGTAGAAGAAGAAAGTAAACCATTACTAAGACAGAGCTTGGTTCATGCCTTTTTTTACTGCTACTTCACTGAACCGGTTCATCTTACTCTTGTTCGAGTGTTTGTGTGTGTGTGTCTATTACTGTAGTTAGAGTGTAATTAGCTTATTAGTTAGAAGCTAGAAATGTTCTTGCACACATTTGCACGCAAGCATAGACATACCATATACACTCCATTCCAGTGCTGCATGCAAGGATGGAATATCTGCATCCCTCTGTGCTGTAGCTGAAGGTTATTTTTGCATGCTAGAACGGAAGAAGTAATGTTTCTTTAATGGAGCTTTGGTGGCATTAATAAGTTAGTAAGCAGTCATTCCAGCATTATATCACACACTCTCACATGCATTTATTTCAGTCTCTCAGACTGTCCCAAGTGCACACGAGTTGTTTGCATGCATGGGAAAAACTTTTCAAGACACATAGTGGTAATTGAGGCGTTTCCTTATCTTCTCAGCTCTATCACGCACAGTTAATTTGCAGCGTGGGTGGATAGAGAGAATGGACAAGGGAGAGAAGGATGGAGGCGATGGGAGTAAGGAAATTGAGATGGGGTGTAGAGGGAGAGAATAAGGAGCCCATCAGGAAGAGAATGAACTCAAAATAAGATTGTTAAAAATACGGCACGTCCCTCAGAGCAACGCACTCGAAATGAGGGTAAGAAAATCGGTGACAGTAAAAAAAAGAGAGTGGTTTTAAGAGAAATGGGGAGAAAGAGCAAATAACCTTGAAGGAAGAGTTTGTATTTCCTTTATTTGTTAATGCGCACACACACACACACACAGTCACTTGCTGTCTATGTCTAACACTTAAACAATCAAGCATTTTATTTGTTAGAAATCCTCAGAGGACACAATGTTAATGAGCAGGGACTCCAATGAGCCTGCCATCTTTGAAGTGTCTTTCTCTCTCGCACACATGAGTCAGCTATCTTTAAACTGTTAGCTCTGTGACTAATAGCATTGCACCGGGCCCTTTTGTCTGGAGATTTCCGAGAGGCACAATAACATACACAAGAACTAGTGATGAAACACACACCAGCTAGAATACAGTAACACAACACACCACACACACACACACACACACACACACACACACACACAGGCAAACGTAGCATGAATATGTGCACAGTATGCACACAGGAGACAGACGATCGATTGAATGTTTAAAGTGATAGACACAGTGCTATGCTTAAAGTGTAAATGAGTGAAAACACATAAAGATTACCAATACGGTACTTATCATGTTCACTTAGGCTATGATTATTTGACGCTGACTGAAATGATGGTGTACACACACACACACACACACACACACGCGCGTATACACATGCACAGACATAGGCACGTACAGCTTTGCTATTAACTTCTTCCGTTTGTAGATTTCCAAGAAACATTTTGTGAAGCTCTGAAGCAGACTAAATAGGCTAATTGTATGTTGATTCTTGCAACTGCCCTCCCTCCCTCCCATTTGTGTCATCAAGAGCTGAGGAAATCTGTGCAAAGAAAAACAAAACAGCGGCCTTTAGGCGAAACGCCTGTGTCTTGACATAATCTCTTCTCCAGACATTATTAGTAGCCTCAGATCGATTGTCTCTACAAGTTGTGTCAGGTACCAACCACTGTGTGGGCAGATAAAATGTCATATCATTAGTCTTACGGCAGCCTCCACTTTCAACAATCATCCTCTTTCCTTCTGTCAATTCAATTCAAATGGCTTTATTGGCGTTTATTTATTTATTTTATGCCTGTCTTTCTTCTTGTCCGTCTTCCTCCTCTACTATTTCTAAGAAGGAACACGGATGATGTGTCAGATATGCGGCAGAACTGCATCTGTTAAAGGCTGGTGGTACTTGACTGGAGAGAAAAAGATGAATTGAGAGAGAGTGGGAGAGATGGAAGTGAAGTGGATATCACTGCAGATATTAACACAACAGCGGTGGCACTTTTATGCAAATTAAAAACTAACTTCAGTTAAGTTTTATATTCTGATACAAGTGCTTCTTTCCTCTTTCTCCATCCCTCAAAACGGCTCCCCATGTATCTCTATCTTCCTCCCCCTCTCACCCAAAGTTTCTCAGTCGCTTTAGTTCTTTGTCGGGGTGCAGCTTTTATCCAGACGTATAGTTGTGAAGTACAATGTGAAGGTTTTCCAGCACTTTATGCTTCGGAGTCCCATGGGGATATTAAGAGTGGGAAAACATTCAGAAAGACTATATATGTATAACTTAGAATAAAAACTTTAAGTAATCTGTTTGTTTCCCCTTTGTCTCTTCTGTACACCCTCACACCTTTCCTCTACTCTTCTCTTGTTTCCTCTCCTCCTCACCTCCTCCTCTTTGAACCACCCATCTCAGGTGCTGAAGTCCCTTAACCGTATCGAGGGCCGCCCTGGCGCCTCTCTGCCGCCCATGGACTTCAAGGCCCTGGAGGAGGGGATTCGAGCTGCACATGGTGAAGAAATTACCCCGGAGGACGTGATGTCAGCAGCCATGTACCCCAAGGTGTTCCAGGAGTTCAAGGAATTTACTGGTGAGTGGGCAGACTTGATAATTGGATTTAGACAATTATAATAGATTTAGGAATAGGACATCAACAAATTGTATTATTTCAATTTTTAATTATGTGCATGTGATCAAACGGGATCTAATATATTGTCTGGGTCTGTGGCATTTGCTGTTGTTCTCTCACACACTCTCTCTCATTCTCATTTGTACTATTACTGGGGCTTGAAATTAGCAGCCAACCTTAAGTCAGGAACACTCATTATAACATTCAGCCCTTTGGTGGAAATGTTTTTAATGGTTGTATTTGGCAGTTCAGGGGTCTTACAAATTGGAAAACATTTACATGCTTCAGATTCAGGAGGGAGTGCAGTAACAACACCGGATCACCTGTCATTTAGATGGTGAATTTCCATAATACACAAATAAGCAACCAGAACAGCAAGGAGTGCAGGCAGTCAGCAGCAGCATGTAGCAGGAGAAGGTTTATTAGGATGCCTTCTAGACAAGTCAAATGTTTCAACGGGAAGTTGTTAAAGGCAGCTACAGTAACATGCAGCTGCCTGGATTAACACAAGCTTTATAGTTGCTGTGAGGAAATGTTTGTGAGGAGCTTTAATAAGTGTGCAGACGTTCCTTCACTACTTCAGTTTAAAACTGAGCACACCCCTGAACCTGATCTTAAATCCATTCCTAAGCCCAAATACTGGCCTAAACTTACCCCCTATTTAAACTGGCAACCCCTGACTTCTCCAGTGGTTGTTTGATACTTGCATTACTTTACACATACAGTACACATTGTGTATGAAAGTTAAATACCAGACAATGGAGTTTAAAGAGTCACGAACCGACACATTCATATTATAGATTTTTGGTTGTTGGTCATCAAGGAACATAATCATGTCTCTCTCTGTCCAGCTAACTTTGGTCCAGTGGACTGTCTCAGCACCAGGCTGTTCCTGGATGGACCCAAGATCGCAGAGGAGTTTGAGGTACACAACTTCATACTACAGACCATTTAACATTTTCAGGACCAACTTTTAAACCACAGATTTTTCAGATCAAGATCACTCTGAACAGAAACCTTGTGCCCTAGATAAAATGATGTGGGGGCGTGTACCAGACAGGAAGGGTTGAATGAAACAGTGCAATACTAAAGGCTGGAGTGACCCTGTTAAAAATATGAACTGATGCAGCATATTTTTAATTGTGCAAGTACGATTCTATAAACAACAGCAAAAACACTACTAAAATAAATCAATGGTGTGTTAACTGGTGTGTGATCGTTGAATAAATGTCAGTAATACTACGATAATGCATTTAATATTAATGAGCATTTATTTATTAATCCATTTAGCTCCTTGATTAATTCTGCTGCAATAACGGGTCCATAAAGTACAGACATTACCAGCAGGAAATAATATTTCCATGGCTGCAGATGGCTGAGGTGTGATGCAGTTTGGTGCAGAGTCACAGTGAAGTGCTGATAACACGGTTGGGAGGACGGAGATATTAACACTTTATCAAGGGAACAACAAACAGCATTTCTGATCCCTCCGGCCATCAGATTGGCCTCCCCAACACAGAAATAACAGATTCATTTTGCTGTACGATGTTTGAGAGTGGGCCAGTAAAAGGCACTGAGGGGCCCATATCTCAGACCAAAATATAATAGTTACAGATTTGTAAAGCTTGTACCGTTCGTTTATTCTCCAACAGGGAGGCAGCTGAACATGCAATCCAACTAAGGAATAAAACAAGAGCTGAATTGTTTTGCATGCAAACAAATGAGTTGTGCACAGGAATTTAACAATCTCTTGGTGAGAAGTTATAATAATTGGCTGTCACCTGTAACTGCAAAGCCACAAAATCTGAAACTGAAAGCTTCCTGGGGAATATTGGCGTCTAAGCAGCAAACCGCTCCCTGTCAACTCCAAAATGTTACATAAGCAGATTCAGCAGGCTGTAGATTGGTTTTAACATACATGAATAAACAGTCAGCAGAAATATGTCAAGATGTCTGCCGAGCTGATTGAAAGTTTGTCTCAGAACAGGAGATAGCAGGTTTGAAGATGGTGTTTTTATCCAGAAACTGCAGTGCAAACGGAGAACATTTCAGGAGAATGACAGCAGTAACCACTTTGATGAGCCAAACTAAAGTGATTGTTCAAGTCCAGATTGAAGATTGAATTCCAAAGAGATTGTTGAAACTACTGACACTAACCTTTGCGACAGCTGTCACAATCCAATGTCAAATCAAAGAGAACTTTTGCTTTGCTACTGAAGGAGATGTTGGAGGAGTGTGTCACTCAATATGTCATCACGTAAAAAGAAATGCTTCTCGGTAAGATATTCAAAACTTTAAATTACTTTTTTAAAGGCTGTGGCAAAATCAACCTTTTTCTAGCTTTTACATTAACTATCTAATTAAACATCTGCAGACATGGAGAATCGTTTAATACTAGAGTGGGTGGAAGGAACAATGAGCTTTATTTATCCCTAAGTGGTATACTCAGACAACATAAAAAGGCCTAATACAGGTATACTAAGATGTGTTGTTTCACGTTTGAGAAAAGCAGTGCAGTTGTAAGTCAGATAAGCTGTTGGAGGGGTGATACCATATAGATATATCATTTACACAGCAGGACACTGTACCTGTGAGCAGATGGCAGCAGTATGAAGCAGTTGAACAGGAGGTGAGACGGGTCACAGATGTGATGGCTGTGACATTCTTTGACTGCAGCTCTGTTGCGACCCTGTGTAGTATTTTGGATAACAGGTGGCAGGGTGCACAGGGGAAACCTGGCTCTGTGCTGCGAGTTGTGAGGGCGACAGTCATACAATGTAGAACGCCTTGATGAGAAATGGTGATGATCTTGTCTTAGTATGTTAAAGATGATTTTGTTGTTTAGTATGTAAATATAAAAAGACTGATTTTGACATTATGCAGGTTAAGTAAAGGCTAATGGTGTTGATTGGACTTTATTCACATTGATGAAGTGACGATCCAGGACTGTTTCACGGCCTTTGGCGTTAGCTGAGAATAAAATGACGTTAGCTTACAAGAGAATGGGTCATGCTAAAGTTTTCCAAGGAAATTTCCTGTACGACAAATTTCTTGCTTCATAGAAAGCATAGGAATCTACTTCTAGTTACTTAGCTAACCAGGCTAGCTGTTTGGTTACTACAGTATTTATCAGTTCCAGTAAATACTGGAATTCCTCTGTAAATTGAAGCATTTTATTAAAAAGTAGGGAAAGTTTCCTGTTAACAGTCCTTGAAATCCTCCTGTTCAGTTAGTTAATATTTTCCTGAACTTGTTGCTGTCTATTTGAGAAACCTGTATACCAGTAATTCTAAAGGCAATAAATTCCCCTGAAATTGATTTTCCACCTTTTTGAAAGCCTCGTATTTATTGAGTCTGTGGTACATCAAGTACCGGAAACTGTTTTCCTTTCTAAAGAGGACAAAACCCTTCAGTGTTCCTGTTGAAGTGATGCACATGGACAGTCTACTGCTGGTGTTTCAGTTACATAAAGGGCATTTCTCCTGACTGTAGGAGCATTTTTTTTACACTAGTTCTACAACAAATGTATTACTTTCCACAGTGTTTTAAAATCCACTTTTTTAAATTTAATAATTTACATTATGTGAAGTTCTTTATTGAAAGAAACAGGGAAATGTGAGTCATCACTCCATTATCCCCGCTTCAGTATTTTATTTTCATAGTGTAAATGAAATGTGTTTTTTAAAGAGCACTTTTGTGCCTTGGTGAAATTAAAATTTGCATGACAGAATGAAAGGGAATCTAACATCCCCCTCAACCACCTGGTAGCTTTCATCATTTTTACAAGGTTCCTTGTCTACAATCAGCATTATTCATAGTTATAACTATAATCCCAGTAAAACCCTAACACGCAGCTTTCATTATAAATCGTCTTTCCTTCTACCCTCCTCTCCTTTCAATATTTTCTCTTGATTCTCATTAGGAGTAACACACACAGAGATTTAACTGACAGTGATTCAGAGTGGCCAAAAGCAAGCATGTTTAATTACTGCTTGATTTCACAGCAATGGTTCCAGGCTGTTGTTAATTGATTTTTATATAATACGAGGGACATGGGGAGCTCTACTACTCTGCTGTAGTGTTATCATCAAAGAATCTGGAGCTGCCCTGATTGTGCTGATCTAGTATTGACCCTAAAGACAGGCAGACCCCCCACCCTCCTTTCTCAGTCAGTCACCGCAGGGTGCGTATCATTTGATTCAATCGTTAGAAATCTGGCAGGAGACCCACAGCTGGACCACCAACCACCGATTAGAATAAATCCTTAAATTATTTCGATTAAGACTATTGGCAGCTACAGCAGTTTTTGAGTATGTTAATTTGGTTTAAAATGTTGTTGATTTCTCTGCAATATACAGTGGGTACGGAAAGTATTCAGACCCCTTTAAAATTTTCACTCTGTTTCATTGCAGCCATTTGCTAAAATCAAAAAAGTTCATTTTATTTCTCATTAATGTACACTCAGCACCCCATCTTGACAGAAAAAAACAGGAATGTAGAAACTTTTGCAAATTTATTAAAAAAGAAAAACTGAAATATCGAATGGTCATAAGTATTCAGACCCTTTGCTGTGACACTCATATTTAACTCACATGCTGTCCATTTCTTCTGATCCTCCTTGAGATGGTCCTGCTCCTTCATTGGAGTCTAGCTGTGTTTAATTAAACTGATTGGACTTGATTAGGAAAGGCACACACCTGTCTATATAAGACCTTACAGCTCACAGTGCATGTCAGAGCAAATGAGAATCATGAGGTCGAAGGAACTGCCCAAGGAGCTCAGAGACAGAATTGTGGCAAGGCACAGATCTGGCCAAGGTTACAAAAGAATTTCTGCAGCACTCAAGGTTCCTAAGAGCACAGTGGCCTCCATAATCCTTAAATGGAAGAAGTTTGGGACGACCAGAACTCTTCCTAGACCTGGCCGTCCAGCCAAACTGAGCAATCGTGGGAGAAGAGCCTTGGTGAGAGAGGTAAAGAAGAACCCAAAGATCACTGTGGCTGAGCTCCAGAGATGCAGTAGGGAGATGGGAGAAAGTTCCACAAAGTCAACTATCACTGCAGCCCTGCACCAGTCGTGGCTTTATGGCAGAGTGGCCCGACGGAAGCCTCTCCTCAGTGCAAGACATATGAAAGCCTGCATAGAGTTTGCAAAAAAACACATGAAGGACTCCCAGACTATGAGAAATAAGATTCTCTGGTCTGATGAGACCAAGATTGAACTTTTTGGCATTAATTCTAAGCGGTATGTGTGGAGAAAACCAGGTACTGCTCATCACCTGCCCAATACAATCCCAACAGTGAAACATGGTGGTGGCAGCATCAGGCTATGGGGGTGTTTTTCAGCTGCAGGGACAGGACGACTGGTTGCAATTGAAGGAAAGATGAATGCGGCCAAGTACAGAGATATCCTGGAAGAAAACCTCTTCCAGAGTGCTCAGGACCTCAGACTGGGCCGAAGGTTCACCTTCCAACAAGACAATAACCCTAAGCACACAGCTAAAATAACAAAGGAGTGGCTTCGGAACAACTCTGTGACCATTCTTGACTGGCCCAGCCAGAGCCCTGACCTAAACCCAATTGAGCATCTCTGGAGAGATCTGAAAATGGCTGTCCACCAACATTCACCATCCAACCTGACAGAACTGGAGAGGATCTGCAAGGAAGAATGGCAGAGGATCCCCAAATCCAGGTGTGAAAAACTTGTTGCATCATTCCCAAGAAGACTCATGGCTGTAGTAGCTCAAAAGGGTGCTTCTACTCAATACTGAGCAAAGGGTCTGAATACTTATGACCATGTGATATTTCAGTTTTTCTTTTTTAATAAATTTGCAAAAATTTCTACATTTCTGTTTTTTTCTGTCAAGATGGGGTGCTGAGTGTACATTAATGAGAAATAAAATGAACTTTTTTGATTTTAGCAAAT